TTTTTTTCCTCAAACTTGCAAATTACTTCTGTTATTCTAATGAGCCGTGCGAAAAATTCTTGACATTTCTGCTTCTGAAGAATTAATGTATCAGAACAAATCTGATCTCAGTCAACTTCTATCCCAGGCAACATCTGGCCTCTGATATCGCAAGGGGAAGGGCGAGAGGGGGGAAAATTATCAAATATTAGACAGCTGCGGATTCAAGCGAACGGTTTTCTTATTCATGGAATAAATTGTTGCTTCAAAGGTTGTTTGAACTTCTAATGACCTATCCGTTGCTTTTTTTTTCTAAATTTACCGCGTTAATAGAAGTGACCATTGCATTCCATAGACCGCTGACATCCACTACTGACTCTCTGACTCCTTGTTTTGTATATATATATATATATATATATATATATATATATATATATATACTGTAACTCCACAGAAACGAGATACCTAAGGTTTAAAATTAATTTGTAAAAATGAAAAATCTTTCTTAAAACTTTTATTTTAGTTTTAATTTCAAGCTGATAGATTAAATTTAATATTTTCAATAAGCAAAATACTTTCTTTTATTTCAAAACTCATTTAATTTAACAAGGTGTTTTTAAGTCACTAAAAATAGCTGATTTTAGCGACATTTTGGCCATCTGTCATTACAATGTAATTCTCTTTATTAAAAAATATTTAAAAAATAAAATATACTTTTCTGAATTTTTATTTGAGGAATATTAGCTTATTTAAAGTTTGATTACCCTGAATTAAAACAAATATCTGTTCTTTTTAGTTTAAAATATCGCAGAAATGCATTTTAACATGGAGGTAAATGTTTAATTTGTTGACAGTTTGACTGACAGACGGAAGATTATCTCTTTTTTCTACGGTGGACATAACTGTAAAAATTACTTGAGGAATATAACGTAGGCGCCTTTTTTTATAATTTTTTAACAACTCAGGAAAAGTTTAGGAAAATATTCTCCGTAATCTAATGTTTTAAAGAATTTTAGTTACTTTGGTTTTAAATTTACTATAGTTACCGCTCTTATTTTCTAATTATGTCGTTTATGGACATCCGTATTTACAAAAATCGACACTTTTATACACACAAAAATATTCAAAATTCTTTTTATATATATTGGGGTCAATGAATTGTATGATAAGTAAATATAGTTTTTAATTAATAACAATATCACTTAACCGGTAAAAATTAATACAGAAATTTAAAAAATTATAAATTATTCTAATTAAAATTTTTAAAAGATTAAAACAATTCTTGTAAAAATTCATTAAACATCCAAGACGTTTTTTTTTCTTAAGACAATAATATATTTATTCATAAAAGCAAATTAAAAGATTTTCTAATTAAGTAATGTCTTAGTTTTATTGCATTTTTTATTTTACGATTCTGATCAGATTTTCGGTAACTGGGGATCCTGTTTTACAAAAAGAAATCATGATTTAAATTATCCAAGAAGTTCTGCTTTTAACTAATATAAAGATTATGCGGTACAAAATTAAATTTCTCGAGATGTAAAAAAAAATTTTTACTTTGATTTTCTGAAAAAGAAACATTTCTCAAATAATTTCATTCATTTGTGAATAAATACAGAAAGTATCATTAACTTAGCATTAAAATCCGACAATCATTTGATTTTTACAAGAATTTCCAAAATCAGTGTGTTTTTCACCGCAAAAGACGCTAAAATTTTTAACACTGTTATTTGGATCCCCTGTTGACGCAACAACAACAAAAGTTTTAACCTAAATTTCGAACGTTCTAAAAAGGGCCAAAAATATAATTATTAAATTATATTTTTGATCAAAAAAATCCTCTTAATAATAACATAAAGTTTTAACGATAAACCTTTGTTTTTGCTAAGTTTGAGACATTTTTATGATATGCTCATTATTTTAGCGAATCTGTAGCGACATACGCGCGCACACACAGATATATATATATATATATATATATATATATATATATATATATATATATATATATATATATATATATATATATTAAATGAAAACTATAATATATATATATTAGGTTGAGCTATAAGTAATTTCTATTTCGTAAGGCCAATTGTAATAACGAATGTATCATCCTAATTACTAATCAATTGTAGAAGTTAAGAATAGATTTGAAGTGCACTAGCATACATTAGATTTTGCACGGCAGTAGTAGCGTGCACAGTGGATGACGGAAACGCAATCATCGTAATCAGAACACTGCCAATCTAACGGCAAAAAAAAAACGATAAAAATTTTGGAGACTATTCGCATCAAAAGACGGCAACCCACAATCTTTAAAAGTGTCTTTTAATCTCGATGTGCGTGTGTTAAAATGGCTTTTTCATCATGACTTCTTTTTAGTCATCTGACCTTATAATGATTATAAGGTCACATAGCTGAATAGATTATAATATAATCTATTCCACCAACATAGCATGTGAACTCACGCTCATTTCAAACTTCCGACTGTTAACAGCATAAACACTCCACTGGCTTTCTTCTAGACGTTTACATCCTTTCCTTGAAAATAACCAACCATGATCGAAAACAATCAATTGGAAAATAAAATTAATCAAGTACATAATATAACGAGGGAAAAGAATGACTAAAGAAAGGGACAATCACTGACCCTGTATGTGTCACGTGATACTGGCGATATAAGTGATTCAATTCAAAGACCCCATGCTAATTGTTCGCCTCCACGGCATTATTCAGGCAGAACGAATCAAGACTGCTCAATTCAACACAGGCTCTAGACAGTGGCATCAGATTATGGAAGAACGGGTCGGCAAACTTAAGTGAAATTACTACGTAAAGAATCTAATCACAGACTGAAAGGGACCTCGTTTTCAACAAGGACCTTTGACAATATACTAGAATGCAGAATGCCCTTTCTTCTAAGTTATATCTGCTTAGCAAACACTTCTTTTTCTGTATTTCTCTTTCAATTCATTTCAGCGCATATGACTTCGCACTAACATTCCATAAACTTGGGATGAAATCCTGGCGTATTATCATGGTTATAATCCCCCTATATATATATATATATATATATATATATATATATATATATATATATATATATTATTCAAAACTCATTAATTTATGTATTATATTTTTAAAATAAAGTAGGTTATGAATTCTTCTGTTTTCTTTTAATTTTCTAACATTTTTATAGTTGCGTATATTGGCTTAGGAAAGTAGTATTTCTTTCAGGAACGGAAATATTTTTAAAAAATCGGGGTTCAAATTTATATTTTGATAAGATTCAATAGAGGCACACGAGAATTTCCGTCTAAGTCAGTAACTTTCTCTTTTAATGAATGTGGCATTCTTTTGATCAAAGTTGTGGTTGAATTTATTTCTATATATGACTGATGCATTTGACAAATTGTTGTGTATAAGATCCTTTTTGTGTTCACATACACTTTTTTTAAATTTCTGCAAGTTTCCCCAATGTACTGTGAGGAGTAGATGTAGCAGTTTATTTCATATATACCTGCTATACATTTATTATTATTATGGTTATTTTTGGTTTTGATCATATCTATAATATTTTTAGATTTGTAAAATTTCAGATATAACTAAAAAAGGAAAATATGAATAAATTAAATCCAAACTAAAATATTTAAACAATAAAAAACACATTTTACTCACTTTCATTTATTAGACATTAAATTATGTCACGTAGCATCATCCATAATTTACCTAAACTTTTCAATTAACCCGATGAATATTTATGAGCGCTTCTTAAGTTCAAAAGTTTTGAAAAAATAACATTTTGACTTTTGTTTATAAATACTTGTTGCAAAATAAAATCCTTAAATTTTCCTTGAAAAAATCCATCAGAGGACGAAACGCGTCAGTTAAGGTAAGTTTTGTCTTAATATATATATATATATATATATATATATATATATATATATATATATATGAAACTTTATCAGAGTTAACCTGTAGAAAAAAGACAATATTTATAAATATAAATGACAATAGGAAAACTGTAGTTATTACTGACGCGTTCCGTGAAAAATCCACATTCGACGAAACGCGTCAGTAATAACTAACTTTTCCTATTGTCATTTATATTCATAAATATATGTATATATATATATATATATATATATATATATATATATATATATATAGCAGCAGTCGTCTAAGTGACAAATTTTATATTTGTATTACTCCTATTAATGTTCTATCTCAGATACTGAGCACTTTATTGCAAAGACTGCTTGCCTTAAATGTCTTTATTTCAGACTTCTACCTACTGAGAGCATTTCTGGTTTCACATCATCTTTCTTATCGCTATTATATACATATACATATATATATATATATATATATATATATATATATATATATATACACACACTAAAATCTAAAAAGGAGACTGTCAAAATGCAAGAACACAAGGCCCTAGATAGTTGGTATGACTACGTAGAGAGCTGGCACATAGATGAGAAGGAAAAGCTATAATACAAGAAAGCAAGGAAGGACTCCTTACTAAAATCTGAGGTTAGATTATTACTGAACAACATAGAGAAAAACAAAGCAGCATGATCACAAGAGATTGTAATCAAGATTTGAATCCGTTCGGTCGATTCAATTCTCATTTTCCAAGATTTTTCTCTTTCTTTTCAACTTTTGCCCTAAACACAATCGAGGGCGTATTTCCAGTTTTGTACCAGAAGGAAAAAAACAATAAACCCGCCAACAAATGTTCATCGTTCGAAGAAAATAACAAATTTAAAACATTTGCAAATTTTACAGAAAAATCATCATTTGTAAATTTCGAAAGTAAAAATATTCTTCTAAAAAGACCATTGCCGTGTGTGTGCGTGTGTGAGAGAGAGAGAGAGACCGTGATAGTCAATCAAAAAAGAAAAGTTTTCATCCCAAATACGAAAAAGTTTGAATAAATTAACAAAATTATAAAAGTTACAAAATGATTGCAAACAAACGCGTCAAATTAAGGCGCAATTTCAATGAGCATACGGCCATATCATGTTGAAACACCGATTCTCATACGATCACCGAAGTTAAGCCTGGTCAGTATCTAGATGGGTAACCGCTTCGGAATATCAAGTGCGGTAAGCTTGGATGTGTGGATGGTGCAATGAATAATCGCTCCGAATTGGGAATCTGAGAGCCAAGTTTCAATTCCAGTCGGGTTCGCTATATACTGACGCACAAATAGCTTTGGGAATGGTATGAATTTTTGACGTACTTTCAAAACTGCAACAATGACACTGAAATTTCAAAAGCTACACGTCACACGTGAAAACAAAACAAGCAACATTAATGCTTGGCGATGCAACATCACCATATTATGATAATTGGCTATTTACTGATGTTTATTATGTATTGCACATCAAGAAATGGCACGCATGAATAAATCAACTTCGATCATTGGATATAAATATATGCATTTATACATTTGTTCATCTTTATCGAAAGCATATCTTCTCACTGCTCTTTTGTGTAGAAGATACTCAGTAATAAGTAAAAATGCACATTTGGATAAACAAGTCATTCTTTAAAAACTGCAGAGACATCGTAAAATAATCGCTGGAAAGTTTAATATGGCTAACACTGCTTTTGCTTTGCAAGAGGAGCTTGTATCAGATTTTCTATTGTTTGTACTGAGTAATGAATATTCGATGCGAAATAGGAGTAATGACTTAGGTGTGTGAGGTACTTCACGACATTAATTTTTCGATAAGAAAACAGGACTCACGCAAGAAAAATAACCACAAGACATTGTTGCACATAAAATATATGTATATTAAAAAGATAAACAATATCAAACAACGATGTGAAAGAAAACACGCATTTAAGTAAGAAAGCTTGAATTAATCAAGAGTTACCTCTCTTTGGCTGCAAATTAAGAGTTCAGTGAGAGTTAATTATTTGGTTTAAAGTTCACTGGATAAATGTTCATGAGTGTTTCATAATATGTTTGTTCTTGTGATATTACAGTTGAAAAGTATTGTTGTGTCAAAAGAAGTTTTTAGTGAAGGTGCACTCATATTCTGATTTTATTATGTATCCTGAAATGCCACGCATGAATAAATCAACTTTGATCATTGGTGTGAAAAAATTTGAACATTTTTGAAGGGCTTTATGTGGGATTGTACATTATTAAGTGAATTTAGTGAATCCACTATTTCTTCGCACCTATGTGCGAAGTCCAGACTTTGGCGATCTTTGATTTTGATTTTTCCAGTCTGTAAAAAACTTAAATATATATGTGAACGATTTATTTTTTTTTTTTTTTACCCATAGCCCTAGCTTTTAATACGGATATAAAATCGTTTCTTTTCTTGAATTATAAAATAGATAGATAAATTGAAATAATTCCAATGCTTTAAGGATATTACAATTACATTCATTCTAATTTTTTTCCGGAAACATCGAACGCAAATTTAAAAGAAAATTGAATATTAATTTATTTTCTTTAAGTGCAGAAACTTTATTTAAATCCAAAAGCGGACATTTTTTCAATTTATAAGTTTTCACGTTACTCAAACAATGCAATGTTTTATTTATTTATTTATTTTTAGATAACTATCTAAAAATAAATAAATAAATGAAACATTGCATTGTTTTATTAAGCAAACTGCAAAATAGACTAAGAATTAATTAAAAGTATGATAACATTTATTTCAGTTTTTAAAAGTGAAATTAATTTTATCAGACTTTTATAATTCTTTGTCTAATAATTAGATAACTTAAAACAAAATAATTTAAATTTTAAAAAGACATTGCATTTTTTAGATTGTTAAAAGAAAAATGAGCCGTGTTTTCTGTTTAAACGTGGCATTTATTTAATTTATGACTCCTCACTTGTTAGAATTGAAATATTAAAAAACTGATAAATTATGAATTAAAAGTACAATTTTTTTTGTTTTTCTTTTAAAATAAAAGTAAAACAGAGGGTATATAAGAAAAAACAAGTTGTCTTTCTTTAAGTTAAGTCTTAAGTTTTTAAAATTTCACCGATTTAGAAAAATTAGAAGTAACATCTTCGTTTTTGGGGAGGTTTTTTTTTACATAGCCCCAGTTTTATTTTTAAAATAAATAAATAAACACAATTGTACTTTCATAATTTATCAGTGAGGAGTTAAATACCATGTTAATAGAAACGGAAAAATCTGGCATCATACGATCCCGAGAAATGGATAAAAAATATTTAAAATTGATGGGTGTACAAATAATTTTGTCGTTGACTGTAGTGTATATTTAGGGTGATAATGTGCATTGTAATATTGTATTCCTTCTGGGGAGAGGCGACAAAAATACTAGCTACGCCACTGATTGGAAGGAGAGCAACTGCCTTATGGTCAATAAGATGACTGAGGATAGAAAATTCAAAACAATGACGGTGTTAAATTTAATGTTAAATTTATCCAACTATTTTTTCTATTTCGATAAAAGATCATTGCATATTTTCAAATAAATGTATGTGACTAAAGATAAAAACAGAAAACCATACAAACATTATGGGAAAATGAGTCGGGTTTCCTTGTTTAATCATTACTTGTCTCACTGTGACTAAACAAACACTAGTAAAAAAAAAAGTGAATTTAAGCTTACGAATCACACAGATAGACTTCTTGAAGCTTATCATTAAAAATTCCGACAACGTTTTACAAAGTTATAACGTTCGACGTGATACGAATCACGCGAACGTGCATCCAAAATCTATCACTTCAAAAAACTGTAACACTGACTTTTTAAACAAAAAAAATAAATTAAGGAGCGCGAAAGTTATCACTTGCTACTTAATTTATCTTTTGTTTGCGGTTTGCCCCTCGTATTGCGTCAACATGGAAAAAAAACTTTTCCACAGTGCAAAAATTATAGAAGACATGTATTGATAATACAACAAGTAAAAGGAAATAGTTATTTATCTCGGTGTAGACAATTTCGGTTTCATAGGTATTTTCCGTTGCTTGTACTGAGTAATGAATATTCGATGCGAAATAGAAGTAATGACTTAGGCGTGTTTCCCTGCTTGATAAATAAAATGTTATTTAAGATGTTGCATGCTTGCTTACGGCCATATCACGCTGAACACACCGGTTCTCGTCTGATCACCGAAGTTAAGCAACGTCGAGCCTGGTCAGTACTTAGATGGGTGACCGCTTGGGAATACCAGGTGCTGTAAGCATTTTTTACATTTTTTTTTTTTTCATGTGTGTGATTCTTCTTCGTTCAATAAAACACAATTATAAATTTGTCTATATTTCTGAGATGAAGTATTATGTACATTCATTATTTTCGGTTTTGTCCTCATCTTTTATTGTTTTATTTCATCACAACGTTTCGGCCTCTGTCGCTCCGCATTCTTCAGGTCTTGGAATGTCGAACTGCTGAGGTTAACTGAGCTAAATAAAGGGTTCAGTTCTTTCTCTGCACCAAAAGGCTAAAGCATTGGACCGAAACGTTGTCATTAATATGACGACAAAGATGAGGACAATAGTCCGAATAATGTAAATAATTATAAATTTGTTCATCTTCTCGAAAGAAAGTCTCCTCACTTCCATTATATGATGTTGCTTTGGAAAACACTCAGTAATACTAATATAGTAATAAGTAACTAAATATTTGGATAAACACTTCTTTCTTTACTCACGTCCGAGACGTCGTAACGTTATTGTCAGCCTTGACAGGTTTCGCTCACAGTTTACTTCTCTTAAATTCTTTATCATCGATTCCGAATCTAGAAAATAAATACTGGAAAGTTGAATAAGGCTGAAACCAACAAAAGTTGCTTTGCAACACGTTCTTGTTTAGTTTACGTTCTTAATGTTCGACGTGATACGAAATGCGAGTGCATCCGAAGACTATCACATTTAAAGGAGCCACGCGCGTGTCACTTTAACGCAGTAATGACGACAAGAGCATGGATAACGAGATGAGAAATATTCACATAAAAAACAATTACACATGAACGCCATAGATATCATGTGCTATATGCTGACAGATGATTCAAATTTATCTTACTCTTGTAATTTGTGAAGGTGGCAAAACTTTTCCAAATGGCGAAAATTATAGAAAAAATATATAAGAAAATGGTTATTTCCTTCAGTGCAGGAATTTTCTATCGCATAGATATTTTTCGCTGTTTGTACTCAGTAATGTATATTATTAGATACGAAATAAAAGTAATGACTTATGTGTGTTTGACTGCTTGCTTAAATAAAATGTTATTTAAGAACGCGGATTATTGCTTACGGCCATATCACGTTGAACACACCGGTTCTCGTCCGATCACCGAAGTTAAGCAACATCGAGCCTGGTCAGTACTTAGATGGGTGACCGCTTGGGAATACCAGGTGCTGTAAGCGTTTTTTAAAATTTTCTTTTTTTACGTGTGTGATTCCTCTTCGTTCGATAAAATATATAATTATTAATTTGTTCATCTTTCTCGAAAAAATGTCTTCTCCTTGCCATTTTGCTTTGGAAAATACTCAGTAAATGTATATTTGGATAATCATCACTTTCTTAATTAACGCCCGAGTTATTGAAACATTATTATCTTCATACACCCATCGACAGGTTTCGCTCACAGTTTGCAGCTCTTAAATGCTTGATCACTGATTTCGAATCTAGAAAATGAGCGCTGGAAATTTGAATACGGTTGAAACCGGCGTTTACTTCGTAATAGGGGCGTGTATCAGACAACAATTGTTCAAATTGTGATGACTATACAAAAGTTAGCAAGAAATCTTTCTAATAAATGTGTGCGTCAAGAGATAAAATCTGAAAATCATACAAACTTTAAAGGAATATGATTCAGGTTTCGGTGTCGTATTATTACTTGTCTCACTATACAAACTAAAAATAATATTCAATATACCTGGCGAATCACACATACACACTCAATCGAATACTTGTAGTGTATAAATAAAAATTCCGACAAAGTTTTACGACGTTCTTGAATGTTCGACGTGAGACGAATCGCGAGAAAGTGCATCCGACGTCTATCGCTTTTAAATGACGCACGCTGTCAGAGTTAGCTCCTCCTTAGTTCCTTAATCCTTCACCAGGGGTCTCTCTCCCCTGGCTATAAATACTAGGTGACCTTTTGCTTCGATCCCTCTTTTACCCTCAGATCATTCTCCGAATTACTTCGGAGTGTGCTGTTCAAACTCTGTCTCCGGGCAGAGACGAACCCAGACGAGGCTGTGCCGAAGGGCAGAGTCTCGTCTGCGGTGGTAGACAGCTACCTAACCCTGTCTTTACGGCGTCTACGGGAAATTTTTGACTGGGCCTATGGGCTCGGATACCTCACATTAAACTTGGCCTTGTACCGCATCCGACCGCGTGGGGCGGTAGGTGAATATCTCTTCCTCTCAGGCCTTGGGCTGTATCCTACCTCGCGCAGAGGTGAGGTAATTCTTTTCTCTTCTTTCTTCATTTCAGTTAATACCAATATGTGAGCTCTCACCAATACAACGTTTCCCAAATTCTGGGAACACGCTAAGAACAATACACGTACGTACGAACACTCACCACAACACAACACACATAATATTCACCACAAAAACTCAATGTAACTGTCCATGTGCTTGTAACTTGTTGTTAATACATATATTTGTTTATATATAATTATCGCTTGTTTGTTTTCTTTGTCTTCTTTGGACTTAAAGTCCAACATTTTCATTAGCTGAACCGGCTAGCAGGAAATTTTAACCCACGTGTGTTCTTTACATCACCGCACGGTCCTCTACATATATTTATCGCGGGAATTAATAGAAAAACACGGATTCCTCTAGTGTGAATTTTTAATATTTAGTACGAAACAGGACAACGCATTCACCTTTTTAACAGACATTTAAGTATGTCGGCGTAGAAGATAAAAAAAAAACTTCCACCGCTAAACCCAGTCATGTATGCTGACAAAATTACTTTCACTCTATATTTCTACTGAATAACCGATAGATTTTTCCATGTATTGTGTGATATTGGTTTTTAGACAATCTCAAGACGATGGAAATATCTGTATTCATATGTATCTCAACCTTTAAAGGTTCTTCTTTGTACGTAAACCTTCCCCAGATTCAAGGGGAGGAATGCACCATTGGCATTACTCTACCACGCAGGCCCAATGCGTGTTGATAAGGGCGGACGTGACATGCTTGGGCGATCATGTCACTTTTCGATTCATGATTTCCTAAGGACATAAATAAATATAACGAAACCAACTGTAATTTGAACTCGGTCATCTATTACCCCTACTAACACATCGTACATCCAAGCTTATAGTACCTAGTATTCCCAAGCAGTCACCAATCTAGGTACTGACCAGGCTCGACGTAGCTTAACTTCAGTGATCTGATGAGAACCGGTGTTTCACTGTGATATGGTTGAAAGCAAGGTACCACCAAAATGGATGCGTTTGTTTTGTTTTTGTTCGAAATAAAAGCAAAAAATCTTTACCCACTTTTTTTGCCCCAAATCAGGGAATTATCCGATTCAAACGGAATTTTCAGTGCTTATTCATTAATGAAAGAATTGTCTACCGAATAGGTTATGTTATTAGAAAAAATTGCAGAAATATTGGGGAGGAGGTTTATTTCACCACCACCACCCCAGTTTTCTATATATCATGTGTACTTAATTTTGGTGATGTTGATTTTTTCTTTTTACAGTTATATAAAGAAAATCCCTGAAGATGTTATTTCAGTAAAAGAGTTCTGAACATACGGGAGATTCACTCTGAATATTATAAAAATAATTCAATAAAACTCAAAAAATAGATCTTTCTGAAATTTGGTGCTTGCATAATTTAATAAAACACGTTATTTTCTTTTCGATTGGACAGAGAAAAATCTTCACTTATAATGTATTTATTTTAAATTACTTGTAAATTTCAGTGCTATTTTGAAATTGCTGTTCGTAATTGTTTTTTTATTAAATAAAGACATGTTCGAAAAATCGAAATATGTAAAGTTTAATGCTTTTTCGAGCATGAATCTTTTAAAAAAATTTTTTTTCATTATAGCAGCTCTTAGTTTGTATGCATGTACAAAACGGAAATAATTCTGAATTACCGCTTTTGATTGACTACTTTTTTCTATCGGAAGACAAAACAAAAATGCTCATAATACGTAATTTCTAAAAATTAAAAAAATAATTTTTTGAACTTTGTAATCTGAGGTGTTTTCGATTAAGCACTCCAGATTACGATACATTTTTTTTTATTTGAATAAATCACGTGGTATGAGCAGGGTTTACTTTTCGCATCTGTGGGCTGATCAGTTTACAATGAATTTACATAGCAAACTGGACCCCGTATTAAACTTTTATTAAATTAAATGCGTATTCCTGGTCTGGAGCGCTCTATCTAGAATAATATTTTTTTTTAAAAAGCCTGAAAAATATGATTATTTCTGGTCGCAGGACCTAGTATACAACTCCATCTCTATAACTAGTTAAGTAAAGTTATCATCCTTCGAGTTTATCTTAGAAAACTAGCACATTGGCTATTTTTCCTTTTTCAGGTCTCAAATATCGAGACGTTTTACGACCAATAATACCAAACAATCAAACAAAATCTTTTTGGAAAGTCAAATAATTTAAAGCAAACATGTATAACAGGTTCACCACGAATGGGGAATTGTGTAGCATCTGTCACATGTTTATCTCGTTAATAACTTAAGCTGATACGATTTATGAATTTTCAACACCAAAACGAAGACAATTTAGAAAAGCCTTCCTTAGCATGTTTATACTCGATATTTAAATGGCAAAGTAACATCTCCACCGGGATTCTCTGTGTTCGTGGACTAAAAGAAGTTCGCGTTTTTTGTTTTGCTTTGTTTTTAATATAAACATGTGAATTGATAAAAAAAAAAGGCGTTTTGCCTTTATGAAGTGTTTTCTGGAGTTGTTATTCCGGCTTGTGTTTCGTGTGAGGTAAACACGAAAATGATAAACGAGAAATTAAGCAAAATAAAAAGAGCCTATCGTATAAATTTCAATTTAAATAGCAATTACTTTAAAAAGTAACTTCACCTCGTATTTTAATCTTCAGGTTTACTTCTCTTTGTAAAAGAAAACTTATAACGCCAAGATTTCATTAAAACAAGAATGCAAGCCAATAAGAGTTGCACAAAAAGACTGAAAAGAACAATTGACATGAAATTTTACGAAAATTCGATGTTCAGGAATGCATTTTTACAGGTTTTATTTACACATGAAAGAATTGTAGTAGGATTAGGTAGTAATAACACCATACGAAAATATACACTTTCCTCTTTACTAAGTGAATGACAAAGAAAACTCTCTCTCCCTCTCTTCTATATATTTCTTTTCCTTTCCTTCCTTCTATTGTTCCTATCCTCGGTAACGGACATGAACCCGAACTCAGTTTATTTGGGCCAGTGAACGTCATAAAAAAAATCAACCAGTGACAACACATTCCACCAAAAATCAAACGGGAAATACGGATGTGTCAGCCCCAATAAAAAGAAGAAAACCACATACAAGACTAGAGACGCCGCAGTGGAGAGGAACTTGATTCGAAGTAGCAGTTCGAGACGCAAGGGTTGGTTGGTGATTCATCGGCTGTAAGTTCGACCTGACATACAACTCCAGAAGAGAAAGAAGAAGAAGAAAGGATGAATGCAACAAATTAATTTCCGTCAACCAGAATGAACACAACAACCCTGCATGAACTCTCAAATCACAAAAAGAACTATGACAATAGTCAACCATTTTAAATATTGTAACCCAATGGAGTCAACAATAAATGGTGCTATAGACAGTAAATTTGGCCTTTACTTCCTCTCTATATACCATAGAAACTTCGAAAGTTTAATATGTGTATTTTTAATGTATTCAGAATGACATTAATATCTCTTACTTATCATCCATCTCTCTCTCTCTCTCTCTCTCTCTCTCTCTCTCTCTCTTTCCCCATATATGGTGTATGATTGGCCTATCCGAGTATGCCTGTCTGCTACGGTGACTAGGTAATCCCAGTTGCCGATGTCTGCAGGAGCAAAACTGTGGTTAATTCTACCACTAAGTTTTAGTTTCTGGAAGAGAGCGCAAAACCTGGTGTCTAGTACGCTCACAACAATGACTTTCGATGGCTTTCAAACAGTTGCGCTTACCCAATTTCACTCACAAGTCTCAGTATGGTTTTCAAGCCAACACCCCACCCAAACGTTGCTGCACGCTGTTAAGACGTCACCTGATAAATAGATAAATGCTGTGTACTAAATATAATTCTAGTATATCTATTCAAGTGTTTTCAGATTTTCTGGGATGAGAAGTTATCTTTTTTATATTATCCTCATCTTTATTGTTATTATCACAATATTTTGACCATTGTACTCGCCAGCCTTCTTCAGGTTTCTGTTGAGCTGGTAACCTTCAGGGTATTTATCTGTCTGTCCAACGCATTTTGAAGCGCTGTCAATGGAAACAAAATAGACACTGCCTTGACTTCCTGGGCATCAAACCTCAGCGAGTCATTAAAGGGAAAGGCTTCTTGATGTGGGACCGTACTGTTTTGTACATTTGCTCTTAAATTCCTAGCATTTTTCTAAATTGCCAGTGCAACTATAGCTTAATTCCATTGTTACTGTTGAAAATCTTGCGCAATTGATAAGATTTCGGGAATTATTTTTTGATCAGATCAAAGAAAATTCTTCATATATTTGTTTTCACCTGTAGATTAAATTGGGGGGATCTTTTTATTACCTCTGTTATTTTTCAGTTGTTGATTTATTTGGGGGCTGAAAGTTAGGTCCATTTTATGTCCCCGCTCCTTCAATGTACTTACGTATACTTTTTTCTTTTCATCAAATATTTCCTTTAACGAGGAATTCGTCTACAGTCTGCATTCAATTCCCTTTAGAATGTGTTTAATTATACTCGCTGGTGATTGTGTTTAGAGTTTACATATTTTAACACCGTATTTGGTTTCATATATAGGTAAACCCTGCCTGTCAAAAGATTGAACACAACATCTAAATATTGAACAATTTTCGTGTTAATCTCAACTGTTATTTCCAAATTCAAATCTTTGAAAAGCATAAAAAGTTTCTTTTTTTTTCTAATGGCATCGTTGGCTCTCTTATTATCAGTCACGATGATCATCTCTACATAAACCATGGTTATCTATATGAAAACCTTTGTTAATTTTGCTCAATATAAAGACACCTATCAGCTCTGAAGCCTCGGTTCCACCAAATGATCCTTACGGTATTTCAAAGATACCTTTATTCGATTTTTGACCTATGATTTTCCATTGTGAATTAAAACGGATTTTCGGCAATATTATTTCAATCTGCTCCAACGGAATATCTACAAAGCCTTTGGCATAATATAATGCTTCCAGTAATCCTTTCTCCGAAATTGATGAGTAAAAGTCTTTTATATCATACTTGATGAATACTTGTTTGTCTTTATTCGCAATGCTATTAAACCAGGAGATACATTCATTTGTCCCCTCTGTAGCCAATCACAGCAAGTCACATATTTTTTGTATAATTTTCTGGCTTATAATAGCCGACTCAGTTTTCGTTGGATTTATTGGGCAGAATTAAGGACAGTTATAAGAATTTAATAATTTAAGAATAATCTTTGTGCCTCTTAGTTGTTAGGAATGTTTGCTCTTCGTACAATGTTTGGACCTTATCGCTAACGCCCAGCCTGACTGTGATATTCTTAGCTTCTTTATTAATATTTTCAATAAGAAGCTGGCGTTTTTTCTGTAAAAATTATATATCCAAATAACAAATTGTATGAACCCAACCAAAAATAATTAATACCCTAAAAATAAAAAAAATAACTTCCCCATTAAAGCACTAGTTTATTAATAACAAAGGACAGACATAAGTGTACATGTTCCTGTGTACGCCCGTTTATATGTATATATGTGCTCGTACGTATAACTATATATATACGTGTATATATGTGCACGTGTGTGTATATATAAGCGTATAAATACAGATATAGGTACATAAATTCAAACAATAATAAATAATTATAAATCTAACCTCATACAATTAATATATATGATACCAACAAACCAAATTATAAAATGAAATAAGAGGCTAGTGAATATATATAAATACATGCGTACATATATCATGACAAGCCTATAACTATATCTAAAATTATATCAATTTATGGAGTACTTTATAACTAAATACAATACCCCAAATATACACCGGGGTAAAATACTATCTTTGTCCAATTTATAGGCGTTAGAATGCGATGGCTGAGGATCAATCCGTTCGAAGAGATCCAGACTTAGTCATGGCTGTGATCATACCAGTTTGTGCACTTATTTAGGAAGCGCGACAAATGGTTTAACTGGTTCTCATCGTCTCTCTTGAATAAGAGTATACTG